GGGGGGGGGGGAGAGAAGTATTGAATAGATGAACAGAGAGAAAGTCCTAGAAAAATCTAGCATACGAACTGAATCACATCATTTTAATGACGCATAGGAAGTTACTTTTTTTTCTTCATGATTATTATTTCTAGAGCCGTTTTGCAGAGATGGGCAACGCCACGTCAAAACCTGGCCCCAAACCAAAGGCCCTAGGTCTCTACTGAACTCCAGGCTCCTTTAGAGCAACCTGAGCCCTCAGGGGCCTCATCAGAGTTTGCTGCTTGGCAAAAGCTGGGCGCTGGGGCTGGGGCCCCGGCAGATTTAAGAAGTGCGTAGCTGCCGAAGGGAAAGGGAGGGGAGGGAAGCGGAGGAGGGGAATGAACTACAGCGAAGCTCTCCAATTTGATCTGAGCACGTCGTGCTCAGCGCCTGCGTTCGTTTTTTTGTTTTGTTTTTTGGTCTTAAGAACCACTGGTAACATTGGTTAATAAAATTATATAGGTTTCAGGGGTACAGTTCTATAATACATCACCTGTATATTGTATTGTGTTCACCACCCCAAGCCAAGTCTCCTTCCATCACCATTTATCCCCACACCCTCTAATTCAATAAAAAGAAAGAAAGAAAGAAAAAAGAACCACTGGTACTTTTCCCATTGGATAAAACGTTGAAAGGGTGAGGGAGAGGGGCTTCTTTCCCTTGCTTTTCTCACAGCCAATTGCCCCGCAGTTTCCCTCCGGTCGCGCGGGGGAGTCAGCCCGGTGATTGGTGGACTCGAGGGGAGCCAATGGGAAAGTGGTGAGGTGGGGCGTTGGCAAGCAGATTGCGTGAGAGCGGGCAGCGGTCTTGGGAACCGGGTGCCGCCTCTGGGGCAGGCAGCCAATGGCAAGGCAGAACGGGCCCTTGACGTCAGGGAGGGACGGGGCCTGGGCACTTGGCGCGGAGGGAGTAGAGCGGGCGCCGGGGGAGGGAGCGCCAGAGCCGGGCTGTGAGCGGAGCTGGTCGCGTTTAGGCGCGGCGGCTCCGCTTCAGGTGTGACGGGCAGCAGCGACCTGGCTGAGACTGAAGGGGCGGGCGCGGTTCCCTGAGCGGTGTGAGCGCGGTCACCATGGATCGCCAGGATGAGGGGCCTCCGGCCAAGGCCCGCCGCCTCAGCAGCTCAGAGCCCCCTCAAGACGACGTGCCTCCGCCGCCGCCGCCGCCGCCGCCACCGCCACTCCTGCGACTGC